TCCATGCTAGAATAATACACATGACATAAAAGAACTCACCATTTTTGCCAACAGTATTTATTTAAAAAAGAAAAGGTAAAAAGTAACTACACTTCATTTAATCACTACAGAGAACATTTTTTTAAGAGCTAAATTATAAGAAAAAGGCTTTTTTTTTTTAACCAAATAAAACTGGAAGGCCTGTTCAGTTCAGCAAAATCAGATCATTTCCCTTTAAATCAAGTGTTCTGCCAGTCTTGCATCACTGTCCTTTTTCTGTACTTGGCACATTAATCACATTACTTGGTACTCGGAGGAAACAATGGAAATGTCAGTTTTCTGTTTTAACACTATTGCGCTTAACAGGAAGCAAGAGCCATAAGAACAGAGTGCAATTAATTAAACCACGGTACTAATTTTCTAGTGAATTCATTTAATTTGGGAAAATATTTGAATACCTGAGTATTAATTAACCTAAAATAATAGGAAATATTATTCCTGGGTATAGCTACAGTCACTTCATTTTTTAAATTAAAAAAAAAACCTGGCGGTACTAGGGCTTGAATTCAGGGACTCACACCTGCTAGGCAGGTGCTCTACCACTAGAGCCACACTGCCAGCAATTATAGTCATTTCAATATTTGGTTTTAGTGCTGTAAAGAAAATAAACCACTAGTGTGTCTTCCAATCATGTAACTTGGGGGTTGGCAAACTTTTTCTACAAAGGGCTAGCTAGCAAATATTTTGGGATTTTCAGGCTTTATCAACTCTATTGTTACAATTGATAAGCAAACAAAAACAACAGACAAATGACTGTGTTCCAATACAACTTTATTTGTGGACAAAGAAATCTGAATTTCTGTAATTTTCACATCACAAAATATTCTTCTTATATTTTCAACCATTAAAAAAGGTAAAATCCAGGCTGATGGTGGGGTATACCTAAAATCCCAGCTACTCAGGAGGCAGGGGTAGGAAGACCTCAGTTAGATTCTGGTCCAGGTCAAAACTTGAGAACCTACCAAAAACAAACTATAAGGATGTGATTCATATGGTAGAAGGCCTTCCTAACAAATTCAAGACCCTGAGTTCAAACCCCAATACCACCAAACACAAAAGCCAACTAACCAAACAAACAAACAGACTAAAAACTAAAGCAAAAAGGGCTAGAGGCACGGCTCAAGTAGTAGAGCACTGGCCTCATAAGAATGAAGTCCTGAGTTCAGTCCCCAATACTGCCAAAAAACCCAAAACAAACAAAAAAACCCCAAGAAATGTAATTCTAATTACCCCATAAACCATACAAAAGTAAAGAGGTGCCAGAGTTTCCCAACCTGATTTAATTGCCTTGCAAATCAAATATATCTCCTCCTTTCCTAATACACACACACACAAATTTTGTGGTATTTCCAAGGAATATTTTACAGCAAAAAGAATAGTGTTAAATAACTGCTTATTAAATACATTAAGCAATTATTTATTAAATTATTAAAGGCCAAGTAGGTGTCTTATTTCTGTAACTAAACCTCAACTCTATGACTAATTAGATCTTTATGCCCTAGCTCCTTCCTAGTTCCCTTGAAACCTTAGGACTCTTTCTCGGAATTTCTCGGTGATGATAAGCAGATGGCAGCAGAGCCTGCCACTCTGGATATCCCACTTACCTGTGCAGCTGCCAGTAAAGAAATCTATCTCCTCCCGCATCTCAAACACTTGCACTCTTACCAAACTCTGTGGACATCTAAATTTTATATACATCCTGGATTTCTAAAAACCTGTGTCTTTGGTACCCCCATCCCTTCCTATAGAAATTGACTGCTTTATAAAGCCCAATCCCTTTTGAACAATTTCATGATTAAGTGTCTTAGCTCCTGGAATATTTTTAAATCAGTATCTTCTCTTTTCTGTAATCAAAACTTTCAGTCCTACAACTTGTCAAAATACTATGTAAATCTCTACTCATTGGTATCAATAAATCACAGACCCTTAAAATTGTTTAAAGGAAATATAATTTAATCATTCAGTGAAGGAGAACGCCACCCAACATCCTATAATAGAGCACTACTTTCCATATGATCTCAGTAAGATTACTTGATCTTTATTTATTCAATGATTTATTTAATTATTTTCCTTTTATTCAATTAATGCTCTCTAACTAAAGTTGTGCCTTATGCTAATAATACAACTAAAAAACAGGGTTCTGATTTTAAGAAGTTTATATTCTAGAGATAAACAAAAACATCAACAATTAAAGTACTGCTTTTGTTCCTCAAATGGAAAACAGCTTTCTTTTCTAGTTTATACAACACATTACATTGTTAACAAACAATTCCAAAAACATAAGAATAGAACTGGAAGTAGAGTATACTGGAAAATCCACCTGCTAATGTGCTAGTGAAACTCCTCCAAACATATCTCCATGTGATATTTATACATAAATGGGATGATAATGTAAACACATGGATAATATATATGATATAGTATCTTCTTATAATCTAACTTTCAAACGCTGCAAATGCAAAACTTTAACATTATAAGAGATCTGGGGCAAACAGGCCAATATACTTGATGCGCAGACGAGTGCTCTCATTGGAACTGTGGCAACTCTGTCCTCAGAAGTCGGATGTAGCTGCCATCCGACTGGATGGCAGTTTGTTCTGGCTTATTTGAATCACTAGCTCCTGACTCAAAGTTCTAGAGTTTTCTCATGTGCATGTGATCTAGGCCTGGCTAACAGCTTGCCCCCCTAGCTGCAGTGCAGGGTGTGGGGGTGGGGGGAGAAGAGTGTTGACAATTATCTGCATTTCTTGGTATCTGTAAAGGGAGGTGGACAGTAGAAGTGGCAATGGTAATAATAATAATAGACGAGTACCCCTCCAGGTATACTTAGAAAGATGGAGTAACAGTAAGTATAAAAACTTAACAATTCCCTCAACATCTAACTTAGTCTATACAATAGAATGTTTAATGGGCAAAAGCAAAGAACATTTTATAGAAAAACATCTGCTGTGTCTGGTGGCATCATGTGGCTGGTGAATATGGGAGTGGGAGTTATATTAAGACACAAAGTTAGGGTGCTTAGTTTAGTTCTTCTTACTTCTGCAAGAAGGTCTGCATGACCTTGGGTAGCCACCATTTGACTAAAATTTCATGTGCAGAGTTAAAGCCATTAGGCGTTAAAACAAAGGTAAAAACTTCCCAAGCACAACAAACTGTACACTCAGTGTAAAATGTCAGACCTACTCCTATTCGAGTCAGAAGCAACTCAACAATATTCACTGTCAATATTATTATGCAACACTACACGAGAGATCTAATTCAATACAATAAGACAAGATAAAAAATAAGATCCACAAATGGGAAAGGAAGAGGGAAAATCATTATCTACAAGGGATACATCACACTGAGAAAATCTCTAAGACATTGCTGAATTAAAAAACAAATTAAAAAAATGGTCTTTTCTATAAAAATAAAAACACAATATAGCTGTGTGCGGTGGTTCACACCTGTAATCCTAGCTACATGGGAGGCTGAGATCAGAAGGATCAAAGTTCAAGGACAGTGTCCCTAGGCAAAGAATTCCCAAGACCCCCATTCTCCAAAATAACCAGAGCAAAATGGGCTGGAGGTGTGGCTCACGGGTAAAGCACCTGCCTTACAAGCTCAAAGCCCTGAATTCAAACCCCAGCACCTCACCACCCCCCCAAACACAAAATTCAAACATATGAATAAATTACTGCAAAGAAAAATAACCAACTATAGACAAGGGCTACTTGTAGAAAGGGGGAATTTACCATGTATGCCTGAATTTTTCTTGATTCTTTCATAATACATTCATGAATTAGTGTCACTTAAAAATACAGCATGAGACTAGAGGTGTGGCTCAAACGGTAAAGTGCCTGGTGCCTACTTTGCAAGTGTGAAGCCCTGAGTTCAAACCCCAGTCCCACCAAAACAACCAACCAACCAAACAAAAAAATGCAAAATAAGTATGAAGGTCTATAGTTCACACCAGGCGCAGTAGCTCATGCCTATAATCCTAGCTACCTGGGAGGCTGAGATCAGGAGGATTGTGGTTGTAGTTTGAGGTCAGCCTGGGCAAAACAATTCTTGAGACCCCATCTCAACAGAAAAAGTGGGCACAGTGGCACATGCTTATTGTCCCAGCTAGAGCAGAAGGGTAAAACAGAGGAGGATCGCAGTCCAGGCCAGTCAGAGAATAAAGCAAGCTCTTGTGTCAAAAATAACCAGAGATAAAAGGGCTAGATGGTTGACTCAAGAGGTATAAGCGCAAGGCCCTAAGTTCAACCCTCAGTACTGTCAGAACAATAAATAAATGAATAAATAAATAAAAAGACTATTCTTCTATTTGGAATTAAATTATTAAGTTATTAAATGTACCTTAAACTAATACCTTGAAAGGAACAATAGAAGCCTGTACTAGTAGTAAGGACCAGCAGTGTACACCTTCTCTGATGGTTGAATTATGTCCTGTCATGTGACACAACTGGGTCAGCCAAAAAGCACTCCACATAGCATTTTGGGTAGTATAAATAGAATTACTACAAGAGTATTCAAATTGGAGACTGGCTAAGGAAGACAACACTCACAGGCATTTCCTTAGGAGCTGTGTCAGGCCCTCATTGAAGGAAGTGACACAATCTGCCTGCATACTAAAATAGTAACTTTCGTGAAGGAAACGCAGCAAAAGTCACATCCTTCTGGAAATAATGCCTGTTCCCTTCCCCTCCCCATAAAAAGGAATTAGTTGTCAGAAAAAGTATTATGTAATAAGAAACATGACATAATTTTAGTTTAAAAAAAAAAAAACTAGATTCCTCCTGTTCCACCTCAACCCAACATTTACCTTAAATTAACGCAAAAACTTTAAGTGGTATCAAAGTTGACATTTCAAATACATAGTTTACCCCAATTGTCATCCTCAGGAAAAGCTAAAGGCCAGCAGCTATACATACATTGTATATTAGTCTTATTTTTAAAAGAATTTATCTGACACTTACTGAAGGTCTTACAGATGTCAGAAACAGCTTTGAAGACTCTATCAGAGAAGTTCACCTTCACCTTCACATACTTCATGTTGGGGAGCTGCAGGCGGAGTAGCTTGTGCTGGGGGGTGAACTGCAGTCTGGCATCGGCCTGGATCCCGTACTTATCCAAGGTCCAGTGTGTCTTAAGCAGCCACGTTCTCTTCTTTTCCCACCACAGAGCATGGTCAGACCAATCTTTTTTTACATCTATAACAAGAAAACAATACAGAGGTAAAACACTTAAAAATCACCAAGATTACCTGGAGAGAAATTAAACACAAAAAACTAAACTGTGTATTAATATAAACAACAGATAGTAAGTGCTTGTTATGTGACAGGTACGAAAGAAACGCAAACTGCTGAGAAAACACATGCTCTGCCCTTCAAAGCTACAGGGCACCTCTCAAGTTAACTAAGAATGCTTCAGTCAAAGACACAGTGGATGACAGACAAACAGAACCTTGGGAGCTAGAACAGGAAGGTTAATAATCAAATGGAGCTGGTGGCTTTGGAGCTCAGCTTTGAAGTATTCTGATGATATGAAGTTGCAGAAAGGTATTAAGGTAGGGAAAGTGGAGAGAAGAACCAAAGAGAACAAAACCCAACATTCTAGGTGATGAGGAGAAGCCCAAAAAGAGAACATCCATGAGTAGCATGGAGAGAGAGCTCTAAAAATAAAAAGCTACATCCCAACCATGTTGTCCTAAATACATCCCAAGAAAAGTAACTTACAAAGTCACACTGTCCAAGTATTTTCCCTGAACATATTTTGGTACAAGTATAACAGAACACATTAGTATCTATTAAACAAACCATTTAATAGCTTTATGCAATTAAAATAATTGAATCAAATACTAAAAGCAATGTAATTCACAGAAGATTTGACTATCTTCAGTAAGGCTGATCATAATGATCAATTTGTAGCAATAAATTACAAAACTAACTTTAGCTAGTATTTAAAGCAGTAGTAAAGCTCACTGGATTAATTATGTTAAACTTATTAAGTGTCAAAAAAGGGAGAAGTGGTATTTTAAAAAGAGAAAGGGAAAGGGAAGGGAAAGGAAAGAAAAACACAGCCAAAGTCTTCCTGGAGAAAAGGTATGTGTGTGTGGCGCGGGGGGGAATCTTAGAGAAAAACTTTCTGGCAAAAGTTAAAACCATCACCATACTTCTGACATAAAGCTCATTTAATATAATTATGCCTCCAAAAGAGATTATCAACTTTAAGACATTTAAAAGTATGTACTAATCTGGAACTTACACACACACACACACACACACAGTTGGGTACCTTTAAGTAAAAATTTGAATTTCCAATTGATTATGCACCCTACAATTGCTTGGGTTTTCTTCCTTTTTTTGTTCTTTCCCTAGAAACACTTTCTATAATGGTAAATTTTAACTTGATATAATTGAATTTCTCATTATGGTAGAAACACATAACTAGAAAGACTTTCAATTCCCCAGGTGATTTAAAAAAAAAGGATTTTTGAGCCAGGAATAAAGTGGCTCACACCTGCAATCCTAGCTATTTGGGAGGCTGAGATCAGGAGGATCAGGTTGAAGGCCAGCCCCAGCAACTAGTTCTCGAGATCCAATTTCCAAAATGACCAGAGCAAAATGGACTGGAGGTGTGGCTCAAGCAGCAGAGTACCTGCTTTGCAAGTGGGAAGCTCTGAATTCAAATCCCAGTCCCACCAAAAAAGTATTTTAATCAGCAAGTACTTTTAATGAGAAAATTATAGTTACTTCTGATTATACTAGCATTTGAAATTTCAGTATTAGTTCTGTTGTAGGAAAGTCTAGCCAATTATGTTATTAGAGGTGTGGCTGCAAAAAACACCCATGTAACTGCTATTTATAACTGCTTATTTTGTTTGTTTTCTGCAACACTGAGATTTGAGCTCAGGGCCTCACACCTGCTAGGCAGGACTCTACTACTTGAGCCACTCCATCAGCCCATATTTGTGATACTTAAGTAAATAGTACCCTGCATCTTAAATTGTTTTCCAGCACAGAATTTGTCAACTAACTAGAAATAATGAATTCTGATCTAGCTTATAGAAGACAGCCAAGGTTGGAACCTCTTCATATGTAACCAAGTAAAAGGTCACACACATTATTTTTCTCTTCAGGAACACAGAATCAAGTGCAGAAAAAGGTAATTTGCAAAGAATGATGGTAACCAAGCAGAGTAAGGCTGAGCTGAATGAATTGTCCATAGGTAGTATGTAATTCTTTCTTTCCCACACTTCCATCCAGTCACTTCTGCTATACTCTAGTGTCAATGTCACCATTAATGAAACTGCTTAATTCATTTCAAATGGGCAAAGAAAGGAGGGAAAGAGCTGTACTAGTAATAAAAGTCAGAGTTCAAAAGCACTGATTTATATCATTTGCATTCCCCCAAAAGACAACCCTGAGATAAGAACGTGGGTATAAGTAGCTTATTTGAGGGGTGGGAGAAATACCAGGAAGCACACTTGAAACTACTGGAGTGAGACACTGAAGGGCGAAAGACAGGCAACTGAGGTTCATTAAGTGCTGTGGACACCTGGTGTTCAGCCCTTCTGAGGAACCAGGTAGACCATGTCTTAGAATTAACCCACTAAGGAAACAGAAAGCTGTTAAGTGTTGCTCCTGGAGCCATTCCATTCCTAGCACTTCCTGGCTGCCACAGGCAGGGCAGGCAGCCCTCAGAAATCCTGAGGCAGAGGAAAAAGAAGTCAGCTGAATGTTAGGGATCTGTCGAACTGTGGAGAGAGAGGGTCCTCAAAAGCACCTGTTACAAGCTTGAAAGAAATGCTTACTTAAAAAAAAAAAGCAGTTGTTTTACAGTAGTAGCAGGGGAGAAGCAATGCCTTTACAGTATTGTTATGTCTTTACAACATAACAAACGACAGACTCCAACAACTGGTCAGTCCGGCAACGGATGTTAAACACAGAAACACAGCGGCAAACACTGAGCTGATAATGAGCTCTTTGAAATAAAAGTTACAAGTAAGTTTTGACCAAGAGGCAACTTGTTGCCAACCACAGAAGTCAGTTTGCAGTATGGAAGGATGACTGGCCAAGAACTGGATTTCTCAAATCAAACGTCAATGGATGGCACTGCTGTGAGCTGAGGGTTGGCACACTATGAATGCCAAGGATCAAAGCTGCCTCTGCCTATCTTTTTTGTTAAATGGTTGGAGGGTGGGAATAAGAAGAATAGCACTTATGTAGTTTTTTCACATAAAATTCAAATTTCAGGGTCAATAAAGAGCAGGTGGACCATAGACCACTGTCACTCTCATCTGTTCAGATACTGGCTGTGACCACTTCTGCATTACACCATCACACAGTCCTGACAGAGACCCTGTCGCCCTCGATGCCCCAAATATCTACTAACTGGACTTCTACAAAAAATGTTCTCTGCCGTAAGCGGTGTTATTTTGGATTTAATCAGATAATGATATAATAAAATGTCAACTTTCTACCAATTAGGTTTCAGACTGACCTCAGAAGCAAACTTACCTGATGCCCATTTTTTCCTTTTTCAGTCTCCTCTCCCATGAGATGTGTGATGTGCCTACATCTCACCAACATCTCTGGACTTACCCTCAAACTGAACCTGTTTTGGTTTGTAAATAGCTATCTATATTTTGTGGTGTTTTTGGGAGGTGTCTGGGAGGAGGGTATAGGCTGGTATCTCCTACCCTCCTCCCAAGTGATACCTCTTAAACCAAGTATGTCAGGATCTCTAGGTGCGGGTCTAGAAACTGTTTTTAAGAGGGGTGATTTGTGTTTCAAAATCTTCACTAACAATTTTAAAGAACTGCAATAGCAGGTGTACAAGAGTGTACAAAAGTAAAACAGACTATACAAGAAAGTCAAGGGTACTAGAAATGATGAACACTTGAATGACAATTGTTGGGTGGTAAGGAAGTAGAAGTAAGGAATACAGACAACTTTTCCTGTATATTTTGCAATAATGGGAAGCAGAATAATGGACAGAAAGGAGAAGCAGATTCAAGGAGTATTTTTCATCTTGTTTTTATAAAGGGAAAGCCATTATAGCATTATCTTAACACTGACTGGAATGATACCATAAAGCTCAAAACACATGTTTTTGTTGGCAGTACTGGGGTTTGAACTCAGGGCCTCATGCTTGCTAGGCAGGCGCTCTACCACTTGAGCCACTCCACCAGCCTTTCAGAACACATTTAGTACTATTTCCACATCAAGTTCCACAATTGGCTATACTTAAGAATTAACAAATATATCTATTCTATTCAGTAGCAGCAAAACCAAATTTTATAACCTGATGGAAATTCTGAGAAAAATGATGGTGTACCAGTTAAGAAGCGAGTAGGCAAGCATGAAAGCCAACAGCCCATCACAAAGCACTTAACGGGACAACTGGGGGCAGGGATATACGTTTAAAGTAATTGGTCTCAATGCAGCAGCTCTTGAAAGCACCGACATGGTCTAGTATATTACAGTACAGCAAGTTAAACCCCAACACATCATGCGACTATAACTTGGATAGCCCACCAGTGACAGAATAGGTTTCTATACATATTCAAGTATTCCTCTAACTAAAGACTGACAAGAAGCATTACAACATTATGATGACTTTAAAAGGAAAACGGATGTCTGTAAGAATAAATAAATAAATGGCAAGCAAAAGAGTATGTTATTGGATCAGTAAAAAGAACGGTTTATTTTTTTTGGGAAAACCTTTTCTATTCTCCTAACTCTCCTTCATACCCTAATCTTGACTCCAGACCATGTTCTAAATGAACGTTTCTGCTTTTCAGAACAGCAGGCTTGGAGTTTCAAACATAACACTGTATGACTGAATGCAATACGCACACACACATTCAGCATTCAGCCTGGCACTTGGCCTGCACCAGCACCACCACAGCAGACTCACTCAGCATTACAAAACCACTGAGGATGACCACACTCAATGATTTTCAGTTACCTCCAGGTAGAGTGCAATTTTCTTTTATTTGGTATGCTGTGTTTCAAGTTTTTTTATTTTACATTTTCAGAAGCAACCTACCACAAATGCAAACTTTCTTGAAAGAAAGAAAGAAAGAAAGAGAAAGAAAGAAGAAAACAGCTATACTATTAGGATGGGTTTTGTTTTTTTGTTTTTTTTTTGCAGTACTGGAGTTTGATCTCAGGGCTTTGTGCTTACTAGGCAGGTGCTCTACCAC